AAACCACTAAATGGCATCTAGAGGCCTTTACCATTGTACCTTCTTGTAACCAGCCATAAATAATAGCGAAACTGTCCACACTAACACCGATCCTTTAACAAAAAAAAAAAAAAACGAAAAAGAAAAAGACTAATTAGGTAACGGGAACAAAAGACACTTACTTTTTGCAAGTTAGCTCTATTCTGCCAGTACATGTTCGTGCAGGAACCAGATCCAACTGAAAAATCATTCATACAGTGGTAAATCCCTTTACCTCTTCCTTTACTCCTCGGCTTGCTCGTCTGCTTTCTCTATCGCTTCCCTGACTACTCTTCCAGGTCATATTAAACTCATTCAGTTTGACCTGTTCTCAATCGACTTCCCTTTAACCGAACACCTCACCTGGACCAGCACTGGCCTTATTGATGGCTGTGGTCTGCCCCGCCCCTAGGGACTCATCTGGGACTATAGTTAACTACCTACAGTATGTTTATGAGTGAGATAAAGTGCGAAAAGTATTGCTACGCCCACAATGAGATTGTAAAATGTGTGATTTCAACGCTGAATTAAAGCATTGAACTGACAAAGTTTATCATTTAGAAACAAATCTTTAAGGTAAATTCCCTGGTCCTGTAAAGCGGGCGTTCGCTAAAAACTTCTACAGATCAACGACAGTCGAGCAAATCGAGGTGTTTTTGAAGGGTATTGCCTTATAACAAAGACAGCCTAGGTATAAACGGGTTGACATTTATAAATTAAAAATGCCGCAAATGTGTCATTTCTATCGCCGCTGCAACGAATCCGCAGCAAGAAAAATCAATCTAGTTCTGTCGTGTTGATATAATCGTTGAGGAAACACCGAGACAGCAGCATCTAAATAATCAAGGACACATACAAGATCGGCCACCGCCTGCAGAAGTCGGATGAAGCAAAGCTTATTCGCGACAATCCCATAAAGTCCCAACAAAAACCAGTGGATTCTTCCCAGGAACTGCTAGCCTCCTAAAGACTGAACTTTTTTCCTATGTTAGCTCCCTGCTAAGTGAGAAGATCATCACGTGACGTCTATGGAATAAGTGTGTTGCAGTATAGTCTGCAGTTGGGCCAGGTAATTGGAGATGACGAAGATATAGCGTCTGCTGGAAACGATCAGGTTAAGGTCAATTAACTTTAATCAAAAAGGGTCGCGTATAAAATTCAGCCATCTAATAGATATCGCAAGTGACATAAAATCGTAAAGCTAAGAAAATTCAGGACCGAAACAATAACGATAGAAAAGTTTAACTCTACAAGACAACTATCTTTGTAGAGCCGAAATAATTTTTTATATACATCTTATGATATTGTCATTATTACGTGCATGCTCCGAAACTTATCTAATATTTTTTTCTCTATTTTAAAGTAGAATTTCTCATATTGACACTATTTCCTTGTTGGTCTTTCCAGTACGCAGGTATTTTGACAAAACTACGACTAACTTAATCGGCACCATAGGCTCACTGACATATCTATTTATATGGAAGAAACGGCAAGACCGAGTAATCGTTGGTGTGTCTGTCACATCTGCTTAAAAACGATGTTGCAACAAGAATCCATTATTGCCAAATACTTTTATTGCCTTGCCGGTTTCCGATTTAATCGCAGCACTAATGGCAGCAAAATCCATAGTATAGAAAACGGATTTTCAAAAACAACAAATTATCGAGCAATGCGATAAAATTAACATCCTTACACAGAACTATATGATACAGATAGATGGCTGACTATACGTTTATTTTCTTTTGTAGCAATAGACATGTCCTGTTTTTCCTCGTTCCTGACTTCCGTCCTATAGGCCTAGCCAGATTTCATCACTTTCGTTAAACCATTCACTGTCGTCTCTTCCCATCTCGTAGCTTGTACGCGTTTGCGTCTCTCAACACCAACGACAAAATCTTGATTGCGCTATTTTGATGTTCGGCTTTCTCTGCCTGCCATTGCTACGTTGGATGTGCAGACAGAAGTGTCGAGATCTCTCTTAGTTGGTTAGAACACCAAATGATAGATTCGTTCTCTGCAGCGGTCATTGTCGCACTTCATACTTTTATCTCCTGCTCTTTGTCCCTTAGCAGCCTCCCATCAGCTTCGCAGGGGTTTCTGAGTAACAGCGTAGCTTACAGCCGGCGAATCGGCTACGGGTCGATAAGCCGACCAGCCCATTTTCCATTTATGGCCTGGTCCGACCACATCGGACAACTCCACTGTAACCCTGTGGTACTTTCGGGGATAGCCCCCAGTAACTTGTTGTTGATGTTCACGCCGCTGTCATCATCGCCGTCACTGCCACCACTGACAACAGCGTTTTCCCTGTTACGATAGCGAACAAATACTGACGCTTGCGTCGTTTTCACTTTGTGCTGCCTTCTGTTAATATTTATTTCGACCAAAAAGGACAAAAAGCAAAATCAGTAATCCTAGGCATCTACTGCCGCAGTTCGTCGAGCCTTTTAACCATCTTGCTTCTGCTGCTTAAAAGCTCAGCGGAGGGAAACGGCATTTAGAAATGAAAAACAAGGATGCGCTCAATGTGTGGAGCCGTAATGCTATTAATACTCGTAGGAGTCACGGCAATGTTCTCACCCAACCCGGTAATCAATCATGTGGCTTCATCAAAGCCTAGTATAAGACTTTATTGGCCGATCTTTGCCGGATAGCTAAAAATGAACTGAATAAACCGGTAAGTAAACATGATCGAACGAGTACGTTCCGTTCTACGCCCCGTTGAAAAAAGAAAAGGATCCACCATAAGGCCCGGCCTTAATGTTTGTATTCGCTGCGACAACTCTTAGGCTTAATGCTTATTCTGTCATCGTGTACCGTCTGTTGTATGTGCCTACAACATATGTATGTATGTACATATATATATATTATAGACACTTCCGGTTATTTTTACTGTGCGAACAAATCTTCAAAATCATTTCGGTAATGCATCAAGGACTTGCTTCTTCTAAAAGGTCCAGCCAAGGTAGGCCTTGCTGGACTCATCTGGGGTTTCTCTGACACGTTTACAAAACAGACTCGTAGAACACTTGTCAACGTTCAAGTGCTCATGTTGCCATAGCAGAGAGGTCAACATTCGCTATTCAGGCCACGCCGCCCCTCTGCGAATACTGAAGGACAACTCGAAGAACAGATACAGGATAAAGTGGTAATGTCTGGGAAAGGCATCGTACATTCTAGAGTAAACATCATACACACTCACGGAAGTTGTTCTGGCATAACCGCTCGACTATGTAAAGCCAAATAGGACACAAACAAAGGACAAGAGCAAATCTTTTTGCTTTTCGATCTTACGACAAATAAAGGCCCGATAATTATCCTAAAAAATAACTCAAATCACTCCGAAATTATATGAAACGAAAAGCATAAAACTTGGTTACGAGGCGTCGATACATGCAATCACGGCTCACGCTGCAATAACGAACATGCTTGATAGTTAATTTGTGAGCTAAGAATAACTTAAGCAAGCTTTCCGCGTGGCAAAGACCCATGCAGTTTTGGATATGAAACGATAACGTATTTTGTTTTGAAATTATTCCGGATTTAGCTAATTGTGGAAATGGATCAGCCACTGACTAAACAAGAACAAACAGAGGGCATTATCAGTCGGTACATCTGGCACTTTGCAAGGCTTATTCTGTCAAGGAACGATTACACGTAGGGCAGTTCTCATCTAACCACTAGACATGATTTTGAGGCAAATCTCCCTTCTATGGCTTATCGCTCGCCTTGCGACTATCCGAGTAGTGGTTTCCGGCTTCTGTGAGTCACTATTGGCATGTCTTGAACTGTAGACCGCCTATAATACAGGGCACACCCTAACGAACTAACAGTTGCAAGAACACATAAATGACTGCAATGGCGCTTAGCTACATAAATAAGTGGTTAGCGTTTGATAACATCGCTGACATGTTCGCCAGCGTGTTGCTTGTTCAAAGCAAGAAATTTATCAGAAGTCGAATGATAAATATGGCTATGAGTATAAACATTAGTCGTGACCAGCTAAGGTAGTGATAAAGGTGGCAGCCCGAAAGTTCTCGTTCCTTAGGTACAATAACGTCATGGCACAATAACGGCTTTCGCTTAGCTTAGCCTATATATATATGTATATATATATATATATATATATAATTACCTATCAATACACTTGTTATTCTTGGAATAATCGTTAGCGCCAATCCATTACATACCTCGTATAGTCGACCAAAGAAAGTTTATCATCCTTATTCCTTATATATATATAGATATATATATATTTGGAAAAATTATGGACAAAAATAAAAATATGTCGAATATCCAAAGATGTCTATATTATATCTCAGTAGACAACAAGACTAAAAATATCGCCCGTGACAGAAGATTAATCACTATATCATTTTATACAGTGTGAAGTAAACCAATTTATAGAAAACTTGTCAAAAGATGGTATATAACTAGGGACAGAAATTTAAATGAAAACTGCACAGTATACCTTAGGTAGCAGGGTAAAACTACAAATAATGTTTAATGTCCTGTACTTTCAACTATACCATATGAAGTTGAAGCCAACTTTCGGATAATCAAAGTTCTTTCAACTTTTCTAATAAAGTACATGTGAGGTTTTAAGTAGTAGGAATTAGGATGCAAGTGGTGAAAAAAACAGGTAACGTAGCCAGTTTTTTAAGTTACTTTTTCAGCTATCGGTGTCGTATCAATATAGGTCTCTGAAAATTCGTAAATAGGTAGCTTCTATGGCCTGCTATAAACTTCAAGCAACACATGTAATCATTCTTCTCCTATCGATAAATAGAAGTCAACAGTGTAACCTTACTAGATTGCAGAATTTCAGTGAATTAGTTCGATGAAAAGAGATCACTGTTTTTTAACAATAAGTTCTCAGCGATTCAGTTCCGGTACTACAATACCAATATATTTCTTAGTCGTTCAATTCAATAACAGAGGTCTATTGTATAACGTAATGTACATATAATGTAGTTACTTACCAAAAAAGAAGATTGCTGCCGACAGCTCCTCGGTAAGCTGCTGATCATCAGGAGCTAGGAAGACAAAGATCACCATCATCATGTAGTATGGTGTCCAGCAGACGACGAAAGCGGCCACAATGACAAGCGTTATTAGAAGTGATTTTCGCTTGGCACGGTTAAACAATCGCTTACGTTGTTGCTCCATCGTCAAGGAAGATGACGTAGCCGACACACTGCAGCCGACGCCGCTGCCACGGGCGAGCAGTAACACGCCTCCCTGAGTGCCTATCAAGAAAATGTTGATAAACTAATTATTAAACATTTATGGTGACTCAATATCGTATTACGTTGTATTACCTACAACTTGTAGTTGTATATATAGTGTGAGTACGAGGCGATATGAACTCAAACAAAGGCAATTATATGCACTTTTGCTTGTTTATATTAGCTAAAAAATTTAAGATAGCTCATTAAACTATTGTTTTTGGCACTTTCGACATTAACTTCAATTCGAACGTAGTCATTCTTTGAAAAACTATAGGTTAGAAGTGGGACTAAAATAACAATCGAGATCTCATTCAATTTCTACCACAACCTTTTCAGGATATTAGCACAATTGTTACGACAAAGGATTTAACCAGCTTCTAGCTACCGAACCAAATCTCATAGACCAGATTATTAAAAACAGCGATTCATCGAAATGCAACACCTATTTTCAATTCGAGGCCTATGCATAAACTAAACGTCCGTCTATAGGACACAAATAATAGATACGCGAAGATAATACGCTCTTATTAAAAACAAGAGTAAGTTCTGTAAAATTTTCACGCACAGAGCTAGCTAGCTAGCTTCCAAACTTTTCATTCAAAATAGGGAATCTCCAACAAATCTCCGATCCATACATCCCACATAGTTTGAATCAGTGGGAAGTCTAAACGACACGATCCTATTTAGGTATAGGTCTCTTCTGCTAGTATCCAACAAGTTCCATGGCGCCTTTTTTACATTGACGTGTCATATGCGGAGAGGTGCATTATCGCACTTCAAACCTTAAAAACAAAGCTGACGGCTACTTGTCCTGTACGATCTGAGTGTCAGATCGTCAAAAATGTTAGGGGGAGGTCGGGCTTGTTGTTCTCCTAAACAGTAAACGCACTTGTACTTGGATGAAGAAAGCCGGCGATGTAGGCCAAGGGCAGGTGTTACTTTTGCGGCTACAGAGTTATCAACTGCTAATGATGAAACTGTCGGGTCTAGCGAGAGTATTTTTAACTTACAGCGATCATGATAGCTAGTTCGTTTAACAACAAATGCAGGGAATAAACGGAGACACCGTATAGTGATCGCACCTATACACCCAGCTAAGATAGCTATTTCTAAGCGTTGTGTTTCCTCGCCGTGGGGTTCATGAGCCTGTTGTAGTAACATCCATTAAAACAGTTTGCATATCTTTTATTTACAAGGAAAATTTGATAATTTACAGATTCTAGACCATGCGCCTTAAACTGCTGGGTACATACATGATAGAAGCTATTTTTATTTTCGATAGCTGTCAATCTGATGTGTTTATTTATTTAATAATTCAATTTTCATATAGGATTAGGGCGACCTCAACCTTGCCTACATCTGGTCTTAAGGGCGGATCATATAGGTAAGATCACAAAAAGGAAATAGGGAATCTAGCTAGTCTCATATAAGTGAAAAATAGGCGCAGTTTTTTTGCCGAAACGATTCTTTATTATATATAAGAAGCCTCGCTCTACGCATATGCCTTGCTAAAGTAACTATAGATTACACAATCAACTTAATATTGGCTGGTGTTTCGTCAGACTAAACTATGCAAGTGTTACAGTTATGTTAAGAAAGATAACAAATAGCTGCGTGCTTTTTTTTTTTTACTTACGGCCACTTTAACCTGTGCAGGCAAAGATCATCCTGTAATGTCTATCGTGAACGTAAGTTAACTAAAACATGGTCAGCTATTTCGTGTCTTTCGACTCGAAACTCTTAGCTCTATAGTACATTTACGATAGGCGATATTGCATGTAGCATACCGTATATGTATATGATATATAATACACGAATCTTCACCACACTCTTTTAAACTTAACTTCGAGTCCGGCAATTTAATATATATGATGAATTTTCATAATAGTGCAGTGGAAGTGAACTGGTGCACTCGACTAGTGTTTTCGGAAACCGGTCCATTTTTGAAGCCAAACTTAAACAAACACGTTCTGCGCTAAGGGACAAGTTCCTTGCAGCACCACCAATGGCAAGTAGAGATTCAACACACACAGTTTATAATGATCAATTTGACCCAAAGCAAATAGAGAACAAGGTGGTGCAAATCTGCAACAGGTACTGAAAAGTAAAAGGTAATTGCCATTTTATTCAGACTAACTTAATACAGCATTTTTTCCACTAAGTCAAGAAGTACGTTAACGATCGTCACATGGGTAATTGCCCCAATACTAAACTCAAGCCTATTTTAGTCTGGTCTGTGTGAGTTCTCTGCAGGAGCTTGGACTACCCCACTACAGGGGCAATCATTGTTAGCAATTCAGACAATCAGAAACAATTGGCATATAGTAGCGGAAATAGCTTTTCCGTTATAGGAACGAAGTAGGTGCAGTAAGAATCTAAAATTTTGACACATTAAGTGTGCAGTCACCCTTGCAGTGTCATTAGGTCCTCGAGTATAGCATTACCCGTCGAAAGTTCGCGAACTACAGTTAAAGTTATTTAGCTCGACATCGAGCTTGCGCATTTTACTATCTTTGCAGTACTATCCAGTGAGACTCCAAAGTCGTAGGCTATGAGCCGAGCTAAGGGTCAGCTTGTATATATATGTCGTGCGAGACCATTGCGTGACCATACATCGACCTTGTTATATACTTCTTGTCTTGTATTTTTGTTTAAATGTTTTAAGCATGCGATGTGTTTGCTGACACCGTTTGAAAGTTACGCATTGCAGATACTGGCCTGTATCTTACTTATCTACCAACGTTAATCGCTATTCAGTACACTACTGACTATTGAGGATGTTATCAACTCCATTCGATATTCAGAGACACACCTTAGATGGCTATTCCTTTGTCCAATTTTCTGGGAATCACTCATTTGAAACAGCTCAATATGAAATATTGGAAAAGACCTATTTTTTCGGCCGGCTGTTATTGAGACGGTAGCAGTACGATTCATGAGAAGGTGATTACTACTTCAGTATACAGGAGCCACGCGCGTGTTTGAGATGCTGACTGTGTCAATTATAACGTCGTTGTCAAAATTTACCTATATGCTTGAACACGCACACCATATAAGAGGGCATAGTGAATAAAAAAAATAGGGTAGACGTTTGTGGGCCAAACATATACTAAATGGAGAACGAACGTTATTACCGCCCCAGGCAGAGTGTAATCGTCCGGGAAAAGGTATGAACTTACGTGATATCGTGACGAAGGTACAAGCGTAAATTGCAATGAGAAAACAGAGCGGCACGCAAAACATCGTCACAAATGATACTCCTGTGTATAGTTGCTCCTGCCATTTTGCTGAATAAAAACCATACGTGACGCACTGGTAGAACTCCTCGATAAAAGGGCCTCGAAGAACACGAAATACAAACACCTATATAAAAGACAAAAGTAAAAATTTTACAACTAGCCAAACGTGAAGAAAGTGGTACCGATAACACCACTGGAAAATTGTGGTGTTCATAATTAGAGAGTACTTTTAAGCAAAAAAACAAAAAAAAATTCGAACGTACTTTAAATACAGCCTTTTCTTACAGCAAGTAGCGTAAGGTGGTTAAAGTGTACGTTTTTTTTTACCACGCTTAAGCAAGCTAAAATATTTCGATTCAATTATTAGTATTGCATCATGGTATAATAAGGTTTATTCACATTGTGTAATTTATAATACCTACACTATCTCTAAATTCAGCTGATTTTCGTACCACTTACTCTAAGACAATTGCATGGGCACAACCTTCAGTGTTCACGAATGGCTTGATTTATAAACAACCATTTTTATTTGATGGGCGAGAAGGTAAGCGTTCTCGTCAGAGGAAAAGTTGGCCTCCGTAAAAATGGTGTTCCTAAATGAGCTTTCATACAACTACTGAACATTATGTACTGGGCATGCATCTCTAGTGAGGCCGTGACATTAACAGTTACTGGAGGCACGTGCACATCTGAATGAACCATTGTCTCCCATGTTGTATTAAGCTAAATAAACTTCTAAAATATCTGTCTCTTCCAAAAGATTTGACCACTTGTAGAAGCTTCCTGGTAGACATGGGCTTGACCTTGACTTCGTGGGTCAGATGGCCTCGTCGACAGCGACAAGAATTTTCAATAAGGGTCGAATCATTCATCTATCCTGTACACCGTTTGAAATCTATTTGACCTGGGAGTCCTGCCAATGAACATGGCTCTAATCGCAAGCGTCGAGAAAAATTTCGTATTCGGACAAGGAAAGTTTCCAAATGAGGGTTGACATGGACACTTAGTTTCAGCCATCAGTGGCCTATAAAACCAGTTGCTTGTTCATGAGCGCAGCCGAATAAGGGATTTGGTAAGGTCTGACCTATTAAAGTAAAACCATGGTAACTGCTGGTATAAACAGCAGAAATTCGTGAGATCGACAATGCAAGTAAAACACGTAAAGGGGCGGATATTATTTGTTACATACGAAGATTTTTCAGTAGAGTAGCTATATCTCCTTTAGATTTTATATTATTGATGGAAATATCGAGGGGATAATGTCAAGCAGCTATTCTATAAATAGATTTATATCTTTGAAGCAGGACAGGCCAGTATATAGAATAATCTTAAATCAGAGTAGCTTGTGGAAATCATGTATAAAATTGGTTCATTTAACTTCAAATAGGCGTCACCTCAAAACAATTTCCACAGCAGCAGTGATCACTCGATTATACGATAGGTTTGACTATCAGCACGCACAGAGATAGATTCATACCTTTTTTCGGGTAGGGCCAATACGTTAACCGATGGTGCCTCATCAACAGCAACTCTCATTTTGGTGCTGCATGATCTTTTCGATGCTTATGCAACCTACGCGAATTCTCGTTTGCGGAGTCTCTGAAATCAGTACCCTTACCTCATCCACTCTCGGAACCGTCATTTCCGCTATCTGCATCTACTTACCGTTAGAGGCATCAAAGCTAAAGGAACGAAGCAAATGTGCGTGGAGAGTGAAATTAACTTCTACACACCTGCGGGATTGCTAGGCTTCCGGCTAGAAACCAAATGAACACGACGAGCTGTCGAATGAGCCTTCGATTTTTGTCCCTTCGCATCGGGTAGGTGACTGCTAGGTATTGGTCGAAAGCTAGCAGGACCAACACGAATGTTGACAGGTACAAAGAAAATACCTGCGTAGAGCGTAACAAGTGGGAAAAATAGATTTCTAAAAAAAATGCATTTTGTTTTATTCAGTTCGAAATGGAAAGTTGTTTCATCCGTAGAGGAAACATGAGTAAAAATAATAATAGTAATAATAATAATTATGTGATTAAGTAAAAAAAATAAGTAAAAATGGCCTTAGGTATTAATTTAATATCGAAAAGTTAGATTTGGCTTCATACATAACAGATTTTTCCGTTTATGTGCATTTAAGTTTTTATTCTGTACATTAAAACATTCGGATCAATACAGATTAAGTAATCGAGCTTCATCGATTGTACGTAGCAAAGACGCAATGGCCATACCTCGTACGCGCTATATATTGAACGTAACATACCTCACAAGGCGTTGTGTGTAATTTTTTCTACCTCGGAATAATAGAAACTAAAGTAAAATTAATAGTTTTTTTGTGAACTGAGTAAAGTTACAAAATCACGTAGATTACATACTAAATTTGTTAATCAGTAAATATCTAAAGTCGTTACTAATTATTCCTCATGTAAATATTTTGAAAAAAATATATGAAATTTATTATTGCTCAGATTAGCTCAATAACAGAAAACCAGTCGACGCATGAAATATTTAGCTCATAAATAGGATCTTATTTAATAACCAAATAAACATCTACTTTTCCCCTGACTGTGCGTAGAATTCGAAATATAAATTACAGTAAAATCCAGTACAATTTTAAAATTTTGCCTAAATCGGCTAAATAGACAAGTATCGGATCAATAATAACAGTCCAGCGAATAATTACGAAATCTGCTTGTGCGAAGTGATGGTCGTCATTAGACCTACCTGCATATATTTGAGCCCTTTACAGGTTACTTCATCGGCTAACCAAGCCACCGTTGCGGTCCAGGCCGCCTCAGCAACGATGCAGAACACCGTGACAAGAAGGTCTGCAACTGCCATATTTGCTAACAGAGAATAAAGCGATGAACGGACGTGTTGATTGACTCGCGATATTGATACCAACGTGGCCACGTTTGACACCTAGAGACGAACGTCGATAGATGAAGACCGAGATAAATTCAGGCTCATATAGGAGTACTCACTGTTTGCTTGATAACCCACGTATCATAATACAGTCATCTGCTAACTTTGTTTAGGCGCTACGTGCATCTCAGTTATTGTGTGAGCGTCACTTCAGTACGTGCGAAAAACACAAATAGGAAAGATTGGAAAATTCAGAATTCAATTTCGTCGAGATACAATGAATGTTTGGTGATTCATTCAGGTAAACTATTACTCAGCGGCCAGTGTAGTTTACGTTTCAGAATTGAGTATATTACCAAAGAATAATATAAATCAACATATAATTACCAAGTTTTTGAATGCCTTAGGAGCAATCGGAAGTAATATAATGTACTCTTTAATGTCCTTGGCAGATTCACATTGCGCTGACTGGCTTTTAGTTCCTGTGCATTCGTACTACATGCGGCTGTAACTCGGTGATAACTAGAAATTACATAACGAACTAAATTATATCCAAGATTAATTTCGTGAATCGCAGTTCTTATCAGACCTATTCCTTTCTATCGTGTCACAAGTAACTGCTTACAAACATGGGTTGAGCAGTAATTTCGTAGCATGACCTGATGCTTCGACCCCACTTAATTATACTGTACCTATCAGAATTGGAGATAGTTTAATCCTCTTTCAGAATACTGTTTTTAACCAAAAAAAGCAGAATTTCTTCTTTGGTTAAAATTCAGTACTTTTTTTTTCTTTTTTAATTAAATATCCTTCTACGGGAGAAGCTTCTTAAAACCACTGCTAAAATATTACATCGAGAAAAGAAGGGGCTAAAACCTTCAGATAGGTACATAGGTACTGTCGACATCGTTTTTTATATTCAGTGTTAAGTAGTCATGTATATTCTGACGAAGACTAGGTTTAAGAATTTGGAAGTCCTTTTAGTGGTCTTTGAGTGATCTAAGAGCCGGACATGTTTGTAGTCCAGAACGGTACAAAACCGGTGTAGACGCCAATTGATGATATGCAACTTTGTAAACCAACAACTTTAAATCGGTTCCTTAATTTCACCTACAATCTCGTAAGTTCTATCGTCTTCGGCACGATACTAGGTAAACGTCCATCATAGTTCCCTAACTAAGCATTAGCATAAGGCATCAGCTGGCTGCAAATTGTACTCGGGTCTCTAAAATGATTATTTCTTAATAATGACTAAAACGTTTAAACCTATATAACATGAATGCTTCGTCATTAGCTGCATCAGATAGCAGCGATACGGCCTGTAATAGTCAAAAGCAAGCGTCAATGGGAGCCTTTGATCACAGAAAGCAACTGCTTTATACATCGGGCCTAAATGACGCCTGCAATGTTCCTCTTAGCCGACCATCTACAGTTTTCCTGCAATTTCGTTCCTTTAGCGCGCCATAGCTTGTTCAAAATGGCTGTATCTAAACAATAGCACTGAATGGCTGAATGGGCCAGTTTATGAGATCGACAGTGAATTTTCTTGAGCATTTTTGCTATAGCATCTGTTAATTAATACAGTAAATCCACACTAATCAGGAAATACAACAATATCCACATCTATTAATAATCATGTGGTCCTGTTACGTAAAATTTGCACGTCACGTTGAAAGCTAAAACTTACCTATCTTGAGTTTTTTTTTTTTAGATGAGAGCTCTTTTTTTTTTAGAGAGAGAAGATGAACCATTCCGCCCTGGCGTTAGTTATTTTATTTAACGCTAGCACGAGTCAATAGTTTAGGACTGGACAACTTAATCGAATCAACAATTCCGGCTCCGTTTTATTATTATTTATTGGTTTGTTAGGAACAAAAGGAGTACGCAAATTACATGAACAAGATGTCCATAGTATCTCTGTCATTGAAACATGAACAGACTGTAAAAGCCACCTTTTCATAATTAACTGGATGTATTATAAAATGTTGCACGTTCGCCAAACATTTTCCAAGATCGCATCGCACACGCCAAAGCACGTTCAATAGTGACGCACGGAGCTCATGAAGCTTATACAACTCCTTAATTAGGTTCTATTAGAGATAGTCAATATGCTAGAATTCCTAAGTAATTCCTTTTACGGTGATCTGCTGCGACTTAGTCGGCCAGCGGTATCAATCGAGGTACCACAGACCCGTACTGAAAAATCAGTTGATAGTTAGTTATCCGACTGTTATGCCAAGCGTAAGTTGCCATTCGTGACGTCTTTGGTCGCTGACGAATGATTTCCCAGCTTTACCGCTCCGCCAGACGTCGTTGCATGCTGTGCATATTAGAAGTCGCAGTACGTATCTTAAAACGTTCCGCGTGAATACCCAATCTTATATCTCAATGTTTAATGTAACAAAGATATAGCTTTTACACGCAATTGCATGTATGAATGTACTTATCAAGTTCGCCCATCCCCTGGAGAAGGGAAGAGGCACTTGACCGAATGGATTCACTTGATACAAAAGTACCAACGGCATGACCTCGCTAGAACCGCTACTGAATGTATCATTCTGTTTTGATTGATGTCTAGATTATCTGAAGTTAGCGATTTCTTCTGCGAGTCAATCTGAAGAGTCATGTACACATAAACGTGCACCCGATTATTAACTCTTCAGACATCAAAAGAAACATCTGCAACTTTGGTTTACTGCGTTTTCTTAGGCCTGGAAAAGGTGGTTGAGGTAGTAGTTATCTAGCCGTCGTTGCCTGAAGAGACAAATGATTTTGTCAAGGCTCTACCTAGTTGCCAATTGCATTCGAGTACGATAACGTTGATGGAAAGCATGATATCTAATATGGTAAATACGACCTAATCTTGAAATTGATTTAAGACCACTTTGTCGTAACTGTTTCGTTAGCTCATCTCACTTTTTATGTCCGATAATTTATTCAATCGTTGTTTATGTAAGTCAACGGTATATATCCACACCTGTACAGTGCAATATAGCGATTTACCTCTGATGACTGTCTGTGCAGCATTTGCTCACTTATTCCATCTAAACTGCTACAAAATTGCCACGACCTATTCCGAGAGTATCTCGTCTTGCCTAATTACTCGACTATAGCAGACGGATAACATGCACCTATCACAGGGCTTTGGTCCTTTAACACCAGCGAAAACCATCAAGTATACATCATCTTGGCGATAGTAATCGCTATAAGGAGCGTTATCTTCCCCATTATATTTACTGGCAATGACTTTCTACGGCAATTCAAAAAGGTCTAAGAATACAGTAAAAAATTGAGCGATTAACCCAAATACAGTGAAACTGCCTAACCGAGTAAGTTACGCATAGGGTCATGAACATCTAACCCAACAAGACCAGGGTTTTATCCTCCGCAAGGGGCAAATATGCATCAAGTGGAATCGAATGCTTTGTTTTTAATTCATTACAATTGTGTACACACAATTACAAAGCCCGTTGAATGTGATGATATTTAATTGTTCTGTTTAGTGAAACCATTTGCGTTACGACTGTTATCGGCCCAAGTAAGAGTTTTGTTATTGGCTTTCTAAATATTATACCTGTTATTATATGTATTATAGAGGGCGAAAAACACTGTCTCGTGTATTTTGTACGATGGGCCTTAATCCAATCTGATTTGAATGGTATGTGTAGTCAGATCCGACTGTGGATGCCCGTCATAGGCCGCCATATTTATTAGGGTCTCTTATAGTAATTATAACGAATCAGCAATAGCAATATTTGGTCTTCATAGACAAATTTTGAATTTTGTTAAGAGCTTCGTTAATATCTTAAGAGGTTTTGCAATTCGATTTGTAGTGATGCATATATATCTATATCGGAAATATAAGAACAGGTCGACGAATTCTGTGAAAGGAAGCGAGGATCGATAAAACGCAGTAATAGTAGATTCGTATCACATAAATGGCACATGTTCCGATTAGGCATAATAATTTTGAGATACCTACTAAATTTTCATAGTATTTAAACAGTCAACTAAGTCTTTTTTTACTTACCAGTAATAGCCACGATTTGCGTAGTTTCTTTGCTATGGTCATAATGTTTAAGACAGTCGAACGGTACATATAAAAGTGTTAGCTGGGCTACACGCGCCCGGTACATGATCAGAAACAGTGTGGACTGAAACTACTAGTAAGAGTTTCGGATGTTTTGCCCCCTTAGTTGTGTCTTTGGCCTAAGTGCCGTAATAGCGACTTTAACGCTTGGACCGCGCAACGGAGATGCTTTTGAATGTGGCATAATTCGGCCAAATCAAGCGTATCAAGAGTATGTGATCAATGGCACAAACGCCGATCCATACGAGTTTCCTTGGATGGTATCTATTCAAGTACATCTCTACCCAAACACTCGGCTATGGACACATTACTGCGGAGGCAGCCTAATCGATGAGCAATGGATACTTACCGCAGCTCACTGCCTAACCTTGAACGTGCAATACCAAATTGTATTGGGAAAGCATAATCTGGAAGTTGATGAACCCCAGCAAGTGATTCAATCGTCGGCGAAACTCATTCGACATCCTTCTTTCGATTCGATTAACCCGGTCTACGATGTCGGCCTCGTTAAACTTGAGACCCCGTTAAGCTTTAGTGCTAATCACCAAATAGCGCCCATATGTCTACCGTCTGCGAACGATTTCGATACGTTTGACGGTATCGATTGCGTCGTCTCCGGATGGGGTCAAACCAGTCTGAACAATTCCAGGACGGCAAATATCCTACAAAAGATCATCGTTCGACCGTTATGCTATAAACAGTGTCGACGCATATGGGGCATTAATAGGAGTGTTCTTTGTGGACAACCTATAACTCAAGGCACAGCGTATAAGGGCGATTCAGGCGGTCCCCTACAGTGTTTAGTTAACGGTCGTTATGTGCTTGTTGGCGTTACAAGTTTTATAGATGAAAACTTGTTAGAACCGTCCGGCTTCGCACGTGTTAGTGAAATCATCCAGTGGATTAACGAGATGCGCAGAGGACCGGACGTCTAAACGACCTGGGATACTTAGAATTTTCTGTTTCCCCGCCAGGCATTTAGGAACTGCTTTTGTCATGAAAAGCGTAATGGCGCACACTATGGAAGGAAATTCATCCATTAATCTGAGTCATGAATATATAAAAAGTAATAAATATCTAATGCATTTAATTACAAGCGACTCTTAATAACATGGGCGGTTAGGTACGTATGTAACTTCGCTGTTCTTTTCTGCTTCAAGGAACCGATGCCTATGTGCATTATTTTGATTTTGACATTTCGGCGTTAAAATAACGTAAGCAGTAATTGTTTCTCTGAACTATTCCATGGCTCTAAGACACACGTGAGTTAACCTGAACGTCTCATGCGTAACCGATATTACGTTATGTATTATTGACAAGAACGAACGTTATAGCTACTCATCTCATTCTTTCATTTGTCGCAAAATCTCCGTAGAAACTCTATTATTCTCTGAGTCTTTATTAATAAATATGAATAATAGATCGTTCATGCTGTGATATCTAAAAGCGCTACCAATCTTCACCTGGGACGTTTTTCTACCAGGCACTTTGACTGAAAATCTTGTAGAAGTTTTGTCAGCACAAGGAGAACGAATGTACCTAAATGTAGCCTAAAGGAAATAGATGTTTTGAATTTTATGCCCGATACCGACGTTCGGTGTTCCATTAGACGGTATGAAATCATTTTTATTTTATATAGCTCGTAAGTACTGCTTAAGGACTTGACGTTCCATATTCGTTCGCAGTCTGCTATTGCGCATAATTTGACACAGCGCTTCTGTGAACATAAACAGTTTTAATAGAGTTGTGTTTCCGTAATCGAGCGTCAGACACCTTTATGCGTGCGTCTGAAAAAAAAAAAAGGTCTACTCTAGATTTGGTAAATTATGGACAAAATTCTTCATAGAACCCTTTTTTTTCCAGAAGGGTTTTTCTAATTTGGAAAACAACTTGTTGTTCCTATATCGATGCCACTGTTCATATCCCATGCCCGGATGGTCAACGTGAAGGTTAGCACATTAGCAGTGGAGTCAATTTAATAGATAGATAATTACGAAATTCGTATTACCTCGTTTATGTCACCAACAGGCGCTTGAGTGTACGTTTGAAGAGAGGCGACGAGAGACGCTGTCTATAAAGGTTCGTCAAGAAATGATCGTAGATTCTGCTGTTATTCGCTTAGTATAAACCAATTGTATACTGTGGGGGGGTATATCTATCAGAAACTAGCATAGGGTAACTGTGACAGGTTATCGTCGTTATAGAATTGAGGTACCAATTTCGCTAGCTATCATTTGGTTTGTACATATAGATTTTAAAGTTTGGAAAAGACTGTGCTATCTGTTCAGTGCATATATGGAAATAAATGATATGTGATAAAGGTCTTTGCAGAAAAACGGATGGTTACTAAGTAGCAGATAGCCGGTGAGCAGGGCACATTAACCTATCTAGAATCTAATGATGGATCGTTTTACCACGAAGATAAACGTTTGTGTTAAATTGTCAGCTAAATTCGTTTTAACATTTCGGATACCCTGTTTAGTAAAAGAGAATTGTCAGGTAAAGGTTTCTGCGAGCGTGGTGCCTCTAAATGAGCAGATAGCGGGCGTCTGACTGATCGGTGACTAGAACGTCAAGCTACACGAATTTTCCTGGATGGTTTTTCTGCAGACATTTCTACATGTAGAGGCGCCTGCAAATGAGCCTTGGTAGACAAACGATGAATAACTAAAGCTACTTGTTGTTTGTTGCTACAGTATCTAATTGGCGTACCACTTCAGGTGACCTAACGATCAGAGCAACCTATTCTACACGGCGCCTATAATCACTTTGGTATTTCCTCGTCAGACTTACGAGGTCCTTGGACTTCACCAGCGAACACTGACATCCTGCGTTTACCGCCTGCAGATTGCTTCGGTTCCGGGGTATTTATACGGATATACTTGAAAAAATTGCACTGCACCTCTACTAAAAGATACTACAGGATTGTTCTTGACAGAACCATGCTTCGTAAAGTGTTTCTTTGTGGAGTTTGAAGCCCGCTTCAATGCATACGTGATGATCGATATGCACTCGCCTATGATTCGAGTTCTAGCAATCTAGCCATCGCTTTCTATGTCGTCAGTCACGAACGAGCGAAGTCTTCGGATGAACCGACTATGTAAACACTGAGAATGGGTATCGACAGGAAACGAAAAGTATCGTCATGCTTGTCATATTTATCCTATACCTTGAGATCTGATGAATAATCGACGAGTAGAAGTGTCAGTAACAACGTGAACGAAGCAATGCGAAACGGAAAAATCGCATATCTTTGAACTGCCATATTCAATAAGATGATTAAGTTTATAATAGATTCAAAATTTTCTGGTCTCAAAAGTTATCGTTGAGGTTAGTGCCGACTGATCTCAAGGTAAAACTGCTTTTCGGAAATGAGACAAGCGTTTGCGAAGGCCACCCATTGTAAGTGTAATATTATCAGTATGCAAAAAAGCTTACCAAATAGTCTGCAAGAGACGCCGCTGCTTTCCGTTTCTAATTTGGGCGGGGGCATGCCTGTGGAGTTTCTAGGGCTTCGTACACTATCTGTGATTACGAATAGGAAACGTCCTTAGGTGGAATAGTAACAGGAATCCGTCCCGCTACTATTATTTAAACGGGTATTACGCGATTTAAATGTCGTTGTATGTCATCGAGAATCTCCGGAGACTACTTAGCGAAGTACTTCTAATACTAAACTAAAAGACTAAAACAGTGGCGACTGTGATTATTCTTTTAGGCATATGTATAATCTGTACCCCAACAATAGCCCTATGTTACCTGAGCGTTAATTTGGCCCAACAATTAACAACATTTTTTTTTGCTATTCTTATAGGTATGTGAACATATGAAAAAGCTAGCAACTCGGTAACTTCGTACTTTTTTTGAGATCAAATTCAAAAAAGCCCGCCTTTAAAAATGGCGATCGCATTCTAGTAGAAAATCGCACAGGTACGTGTGATAACCTCATTTTATAGAGCAAGCTTGATTAAGCAATAGACAGTTCTAAATCAATCTTTAATTATCAGCGCTTAGTAAGGTACCGCGCTCGGAATTGCATATAACCTAATTTCGACACATCTGCATGCTTGAGTACAGCATATCACAGAAAATGATTGTGTAAAGCAACACTAAAACCCATAAAATTGGCAGCCCACTTAAGTACAGACAGCAAGAGTTGACGTTCTGCAACGAAATCACGTGACAGCGAGCGTTTATTCATTCAGTTTGAAACATGAGTCGTTTGTTATCGTCCGAGTCACGACCCAACGATATAAATGCTCCGCTACGTATTAGAAGTCATGTCATTGCCCCGTATCGTCAAGCTCACGAAGAAGAGCGTTCTCAACACGTACTAGTTAGATATAACATTTCGTGTCACGCTAGTTCACTTGTACGTGAAAGGTATATACCTGCTGGCTCTATTGACTGCCGATAGTACATCGATTGCGCATGGTATCGTCGAATAGGGCATTTGGCGGATTTAGCCAATGTTCATAGATCCTTCCCCTGGCAATATAATCCTGAAACATCAGCTTGGGATTATTTTTACGGCGGTAACCTGGTCAATGATCAGCAGATATTAACGGCGGTTCGCTGCATTGCAGAAGCCGACGAGTGGCGAATAACTCTGCGAAAACACAACTTCGCTATCAGCGAACCGCTCGAGCACTACCACAAGCCGATAATCCGTCCACGACATTCTCCCTATAATGAAACGGCTATTGCGCTTGATTTTGGTCTAGCGGAACTCGCGACCCGGGTTAATCTCAATCATGGCCACACGATATGCCGTCAATTCGTTTGACGACAAGCTTTGCATCGCTATAGGCTGGGATCGGACAGGTCTCGACAACGATATTGCGTCGAACGTTTTGCGGAAGGCAACAGTTCGACTGATATCGCTTGAAAGGTGTCGTAACCTATACGCTTCGAGGCAAAACGTACATGACGAAATTTCGCTTTGCGATACTTTGCTGATTGGCTGTTGATCGGGGCGACGTAAACCCTGGCTGTTCCGGGAATCCCCTCTGGTGCCTTCAAAAAGACCGATATATGCTTACGGGAATTGTATGCTTCGGATTCGAATTCACGTTGTTACCTAACATTTATGCGAGGATAAATGAAGCGCTCCTGTGGATCAGTGTTGTATTCACCGACCATCGATGGAGATGACTCAGAAATTCAGCATAACTTTATTCAAAGCTAACTAAGAATGAACCGGAAAGAAGGTCTGAACTCTAAGTGTTAAGAAATTATAAAATAATCTGGCGGTGTACATTATTGAGAGAATAAGTAACGGATGACCTTTTTTTAGTAGATCTTGTGTATTTATTTGTTCTCCATGACAGGCTTAGAACAGCACAACATACAAGGAATTACGTCTTCACCGGATAGACATAACTAAGCAAACGATGCAAATGTTTTTACGTAGTAGGTCCTAGCTATTGAAATAGGAACAAGTTACTCAAGCATATGCTCTATATGCGGGACTATTTTGTTCTACGAATCTAAAGGATAGCTTCTTAATATATGAGGAGCTCAAAGAACTGGAACCGAAGAACGCCGTGATCCGTGTTAAGCATCACAGAGCCTTACGCTTATGAACGATAAGAATCCTGCTATAGATGAACGCCATTAAAGATTGACCCTGTTTGCTTACCATGATCTTCACAAATTCACTCACTTAGGTCAGTTGAAATGCTCGTGTAACAAAAAATAAGGGCTTACCGATGATCGTGTCGGCCACTTGTAAATACAGCCATAAAACAAACAGGAACTCGATCGACTATGATTGAACTCAGACAACGGTAAAATCTTATGTTCACAGTAAATTCGATGCATCTAGTTGAGCTTTGTTGAGCCTCTACGAAATAGGTAGAGAGGGCCGGAAGGCCTAGTATTTTAACAAGATTTGGAGGCTTTTGCAAGCTAAATAATCGACGGTCTAAGTAACCTCAGGACTTGACGAACCAAACAGGGACAGCGACTTTATATCAAGTGAAAGCGGCCAACCTATCTAACGGTAAATGCTTTGAATAAATTTTAGTAGAGCTCTTTTTCTTGAAAAAATCTGAAAAAAACAGGGCAAACGTTTAACTTGAGTTTCATACTACAACTTATTCTAAAACGATAAATCGTTATTTATTATTTCTTTGTCATCGCAAATAACAGGATCACTAATGTGTTCTATGCGAGGCTGACAAATACGGGGAACGAGGCGGAAAGCGCTCTCTGTTACCAAAATATTGGTAACGAATCAGAGCTAATAATCTACCTATTCAGTTAGCCATCTGTTAATTGCCAATAAGCTCTAACTTAGTGTCAAAATTACGTAAAATCAATATGGCTTTTTTTTTTAACTAGCATCTGAGTAACTTCCTTGCACGTCCTTCGTTTGTATGAGATCCGAAATGTCATGTTATCACGATTGCAACGGAAAAATATGAGGTTTCCTTTGGAAAGGGACTTCAATGTGTGGTTTGTAATTTTAAGTAAACGTTATAGCTCAACTGATGCCCAATTGGGAAAAGATCAGTTTGTGATGATTAGTGGCCCAGCTAACTTCCCCGAGGCCATTTTTTTGCCTGTTACTAGAATTCGAAAGAAGCATCTTGTCAGGAAATCTTTGATCGAAATAGTTCGAAACTCGAGACGAGTGACCGCACAAAATGCGATGAAATCCGGTGAACACGTACAGGTATTCTGCCAGGTTACAAGGTGACAGAAATTAGTTTATGATTGTAACGTATATGTCTGTCTGTATGTGGCGTAAATTACGACATAAAATTTCACGAAGCTTTCACTTAGGCATAAATGGTAGCTGTCAGTGAAGAAACTTTATGATAGGACATTGTTTTTGCTCCTGAGAAAATGACTCCTATAGCTAGAAACCGCTATGAATGGCCCCGCTGTGTTCGAGCAAAGCGCACTGACACTCGGTACAGGCTTATAACCGTTATTCTGAAGTTCAGCCAATTTATCCGCACTTCTAACACAAATGTACCGTGTTTCAACCGTTTAAGTTGGAAGTTATTTACGCGAATTATTTCGTTCTGTCCCCGCGAGCTCTGTCAATGGGGCGAGCTTTGAATTTGTAAAGTATTTTCGCCCGGCATAGGTAACGGCGAATATAATGATTTTGAAACTCAAAGACAATGCAGTAATTGATAACTAGTTAACATCGTAAGGCCCTATGTTATTAAGCAGCACCTGGTTACGTTATCCAGTGAAAATACTAGCAACCAACCTGTCGAATCAGGTGATCAATACACATAGGTCGTTGATTGCACATAGTTGACTATCTCCTAAACATGTGAGAATTGTTTGTAGCCTACGATAGGATAAGTGGACTGTGACCGAATTAAAATGAAATATTTTGCATTGAGAAATCATTAATAATTGATTATAGAAGTTGTCAGAAGGGAATAACAAACACAGATCGTCATCGCTATTAATTTCTCCTGGTGCAAATCTTGATTGCCAAAATCGTAATCTTTGTAGATATCCGTAACGAGTTCAATATGGCTTGTAATTCTAGTCAAACCAACATTGTGTAGTTTTTTTTTTAGGCGTTTGCACAAGCTGCGGAAAGCATTGATTAACGGTATCATATCTTATGTGGATATCCTAATATTTCATATATAGGGATTTAAATAGAAGGATTTCAAGGGTTCTGTTTCCTTCAGCAGAATTCTGGCTCTATTCCAAATAGATTAATATAGACAAATGTATTAGACGAGGAGAAATTTACGCTGCACTTAATTACATTACAAAGTACTAATACACAAGCATTTGTGAGGTTGACAACTTTTGACTAAAAGTTAACAAGTTTTTCAGGCTTTAATTGACAACTTGGGGTTTCGGCCAAGTCTTGCCGATCATCAAATGCCAATCGGACACGTTCTTTCCCCAAAATATAACGTAAGCGTGTGCCCAAATCCTCCTACCCATTATTTAACATCATTATCCTGTTTTTCAAAAGATATTGATGAACTAATGATAATTTCCTTCACGAGATATATCTCGTATATAAAGCAATAGCTAGCCACGTTTAAAGTAAACAATTAGAGCGAAAAGGAAAACGTCGGACCTAATATCAGCTAACCGACCCAACTATGTAGGCCACCATGGTACACTTGAAGCAAAAATCGCTTAGATCATGGGAAATCGTTCATTTGAACCATGGTAGCTTTGATGTCGACATGATTTCTCGATGATTGTTGCAGTAGACGGTCCAACCGCCACTCAGCCAGGGAATGGTATCAGCGAAAAGTCGTCTAAATGCCACATAAATACCTTGACGGCTAGAGACTTAAACACGCTAACCGTAATCGATTATGTGATGGTGTTTTTTTGTTTACAACAACTGAGTGTACTGGAGTGTTGAATTTGCGCTAGATGGATTTTCCGGATTTTTATTTTATTACGTTAGCATCGCTTGCTGCATCATCAAACGGGAGCTAATCATGGCTTTTCAATAAAGGTAGAGATTGATTAAAATATTTATAATAATATTAAAACTCGCGTTTGTGTTGAAGTAGACTGACAATTACTCTATTCATCACGGATATTTATTTTTTTTTATTTATTTTGCGGAATTATCGGATTCGATCGTTTCATCCTACGTCGGAGCAATACCTGATTCAATTATCTTCGCGCCAGTGGTTAAATTTGTTATGTGAAGCACTCAAATCAGTCGTCACTGCTGAAGATGAATCATCGACTAGGTGGCCATTTAAAACCTCTCGGTAACCAAATAACATTCAGTTTAGCAAACAAACGATCCACCTTTCTATTATCCCTTTCAAGGACCATACAGCCTGTTTGTATCCTGGCGTGATCTTCATGAAACGCCTATCTCTCAATATAGGTCTTGGTTAAGACGTGAGACATCTCTAATCAGAGTCGCTAGACGGTGCTTCAACACAATAAAAGGTAACCCAACCTAAGTGCTATTCCTTATCAAGGGACGTACTTGCTTAGCAACAACAAGAGGTCGTCATACAACTTGCACGACCCTCGGAACAAGTCAAGACCTGTTTTTCTTTGGGAGAGTTTGGCTGAGGCTTTAAAGCAGAAAACAAGTTTCCGAGCTCAAGAAAAGTAACGGAGGACGGTGGTCAAAAAAGTTTAACTTTAATCGAAGTTATGTTTAACCCCCTACGGTCCTGTTCGAGAGTACACAAATGGACGTGGGAATACCGTTAATTCCACATTGAATACGAACAATAAAGAGAATCTGCATGACCTGTTACCCACCGAAGCCGGCTCTAACGATCTCTGTAGTTCTGGTATCCAATAAATCTCGAACCGACCGCCTCATTACCGCTCGTCGAGTTTAAAAGTAAGTCTAATACAGAGAATAAAGATAACGCAGTCTATAAACAATAACACTGCTTGTTTTGACGAAGCCCTCTATTATTGGAAAGCATTGTATGAATAAATCGTCACCCAAGAAGAATGCCATGACCAGATCCAGCCTGATAAGCCCGTTTGGTAATAACCGTACCGATTTTTATGCTTATGATAGGCTTTACATGTTGGTAGTTTTATTATTATTATCGTCACTATTATTATTATTATGTGCCATGTCGAGAGCTGAATGAAAAGGCCCTGAATCTGAGTGTTTATAGGTAAACGTCAACATAGTATCTAAGTATTTTTAATTATTATTTCATTGGTCTTGTAGGAACAACCATTATATTCCTACATGTGTGGCAATCGATTATGTTCCTAGTCTTCCGCATGTTGTATCTCGGTTTAGTTAATTTTTCACCGATCCTCAGTACCATATTTAAGTTGCGCCAGGTAAAAGTTATCATAAAAGAATGCTGTTCGTTGGTAACGTGAATTTCAGAACAACTAATATCTGGAAGTTCTATTAGCCTACGTACGTATTTTGCCATTGGACACGTTTCTTTTGAGATAACCGATTTGAAGAGTCACGATCGAACATGAAACTGACTAGCTACCGTGACCAAGTATAAAGCACCGCGTTTTGACAATTTCCACAGCTGTTTTCCAGTACGACTTCGATGACTTAGAGGATGGTTATTCATAAGGACTTGAACAGATCTGCGTAGTCCCAAGACGGCAATGAACCGTATTCTGTGTTCTTTACGCATGCGAGTATGACAATCTAATACAAATCACCTATAAAGATGTCAACAGTTGATCAAATGCTGGCGGGTCATGCGCTTCCTTGTCGCCAGACGGATGCGTCACTGTTTGGTCTTAGCCTGCCCATAGAAACACTATGCGGACCGTGGGAATCCAGGTGATCTAAAGGAGTTTTCTCTAAGACCTTGCGTTGATGCGTGTATATATATTGCACCAATGTGTCGCTAATTTTATAATACATAAAATACTACTAAAAAATGATAATAAATTAAATCAAGCGTATTACCATTATTCTTATGAGATTTGTAGAGTTAGCGAAGAAAATTCGTTATAATCAAAATAGATTACAAGTTACTGCGTTTCATATTTACTTACCAATGACAAGGCTGCTATGACTGATAGCACGCAGGCCCTAAGCAGTACGGCGGTAGTGAATGCTGGCGCAGCCCGAGGAATTTCATTGCAGACGGTTCCGTTGAGGGTCATATTATTTGCTAATAAATTTTGCATGACTTCGGCGCCTAAGCTCGGAGCTGAAGTGTTCGAGGTGCCTAGAGTGAGACTGTTCTCACCGAGGATTTCACCTGCGCCACCAAAAGATGCGGCCGGGCTTGCGGCCACTGCAGCTCCTGTGCAGTTGATCATGCCCAGCGGCATGGCCAACTATGACACCTTTAGCGTCAGCGCAAGGTTCGGCAGTGGCCAGTCGTCGAGTAATCGTAAACGGCTCGCCGTACTAGCCGAAGCAGAAGAAATGTCTGTACACCTGATAGAGTCGTTGAGTGAACCATCTTCAGAATGGACCACCTCAAAAGGCGACGATGAAGGTTCTATCACAGTGAAACTAATTATAGGGGCACTCCCGTATTAAGAGACGATCCTGCGTAGACGCTCGATGGTGTTTCTGAATGTCGTTGATGACGTAAGTCTCGTCTTCCGATTGACTTGTTGTTTAACCTTTCGAATTTTATTCAAAGACTGAAAAATGACCCGACAAAACCTAGAAGAACACACAGCAGGAACAAGAAGAGTTAGGCTTATTTGACAGTTGGTGCCCCATAATCGATGTATCTTATTATATTAGGTCAGTACAACAGCTTCTGGTTCTTCGGTTAGAACGTATTACACATATATTTGAAAATATTTGTAATAATACTCTCCAACGATAAACATCGACTTTTGCTGTGGAATAGATCTATACGGTGTTGAACTTGCGGCAAAAATGTCTCTCATACGTCGCGTTGTAATGGTGCCATAGAAGATCAAAACGAAGAAGAATATGCTTCTTCTTATCGATTTACAAGATATGGCGAAGGAAAACACCTCATGCTGACGGGCACAATATATTATGCATTACAGCTATGAGGTCGCTTAAAGGGTGCGAACGACAACGAATCAGCGTAATCCCTCGTGAGCAACGATCTGCCAGCTCTGTGAAAGGGATCACTGTCGTAGTAAGTAAATCCTCTATAACAACATTGGACATTAGAGGGGAAAACGATAGTAATTCTTAGATTGCCTCTTACAGCAGCCCTAGGGCCCTCGAGGAGTTTCAACAAAGCTCTCTTTCGTAAACTTTATCCTCGTGCCTCGCTCGGCAAGCCCAAAGTCACGACTGCTCTGCTTAACTTGAAAAGCCGGACACATTCAGTGAAAAATTGAGTAGTTAGACTGGGTCTAGACGAAGCATCTTCGAATTTGAGTAGTAGAAGGACGCATTATATATATGTGTGTATATAATATTTGTGTGGTTTGAATTCGTGGTGTTTCATAAAAGTGTATTAGAGCTAGCTTGTGACGATCTTACTTATTGTCGCACGTTTTTCTACGAAAAAAACTAATAGTTAGCATAAACTATTCAATGATAGCTTGATAACACCCACTGGTGGATGAAAATCTGTACTTTTTATTATTAGTTTCATCACGGCATTTACACAGTGTGTAAAAAGATTATTTTTAAAAACTTAGAATATAATTGATAAGGTGAAACAAGTTACATTTCTCAATCGTTGCAGTTCGTACATATTGAGCAAATAGTAAATATAAATTGAACCAGTGTGGGGCATTCGATTATGCGTTTCTGCCCAACAATATATTTACCATAGAAATATCAAGAATTCTATCTAAGATTGGATCAAGAGTAAGGAATACAGCTCATTTCTTTACCTGCGTGCAGCCATATAAAATGCATTTAGTACTTTATGTCATTGAATTAGAATATCATAATAGAAATAAGCGTATTAAATTAAGATAAGGTAATTCCTATATTTTAAATGAGTCCTATTAAATCTCTATCTGTGCACGTCCGTTCGATGCAGGTTCTGACTGTCTACCTATCTCAAGATAAGGTATCCTTCATATTTTTTGAGGTACTCATTCGGAACTTGTTAAAGCTAATCAATAGTCGTATGCCGTTAAATACAGGGTTGAATGGTAAATCTTCTAATGGGATCTGAGCGCAAGGCCAGGTTATATAGAAACGACAATTTCGTTTTTTTCGACAAAGACGCATAATCTTGATAGCTGTAGGCCGTCAACTTATTCCACTTACTAGCATTTTTTTCTCTGAAGACCTTCAGCCCGCAATATTTTTTCAGAAGTATGTATTATGCAGATCGGCAATAGCCGGGATCGTATACGGGCTCCCAGCAACGCTCTAGCGGAGGGGACAGCTTCTGTAGTGGGTTATGGTTGTCATCATCATTCTTAGAGAATTCAAGTCCATCCACGTAGTCGGATTTTACAAAAACTATTCATCTGTTTACGACTTTAGGAAAATCTCAATTATCTTGACCCGGTCTTAGGCAAGGACGAACAGATAACCACCACGCACAACGTTATCGTCAGCCACTAGAGTGAAAAATCCCGCCAGTACTTTTCCACATGCACCGGATCACCCATGTGCGTGTTCTTGCCTACATATGTTGCAATCATATGCAATGCATACGATGCAACATCGTGCTCCTGTTAGTACCCGATCTGTCTCGCACTTCTTGTCCATTTCTCCCTCTACTTCACTATCTCTTGTTGGCGATCGGCTGGCTAAATTAGGCCAATTTCTTGAAATGCTTCTTACCAGAGACTAAGCTAATAGAACCGCCAGTAAAGTAAGATACCGTATTCTCTCACGAATCCGCGCCACGCTACCCAGGACTCGACAGACACACCGTCTTCTATGCAAGACGTTGAATCCGGAAGTGGTTTCATGAAGTCAAATAGGTCTCCAGCAGCCTAACCTCCTACTACCACCTTTGGCCGCCTTATCGTGACAGCTTCAATGAGATGGCTTGTTAAACCTCACTATCACTGCACACTGATCACTTCTGCTGAGGTAACATTTCAGAATAAAAGATTATCTATTTCCCTGGTTATGTTTCTTCATATCTACTCAAGTAGACTGTTTTATCAATTCGGCCCAGTAGGGTACGGTAAGGCGCAGCATTACCGCCATCTGTCTACTTTCTTCCCGTTCTGAGAAATCTTAGCAGCACTCTCTAACTATTTGGCCCTTTCTGGTGTAGTCACTCACACACTTTTTATCTACCGAGTACCCCTCCCCCCTTTCTATGTTTTTTAGGTACCTTCTCTTCCCCATAATATATACATACCTTCGACATATTGCTGCAGCATAATTTGATACAGGACGACTCTAATCATGAATGTGTAATTCAACCACAGTTGCCTGACAAAAATGAAGTTGGGTCCTCCCGACCGTTCGATCTATTTCTTTCAGTGTGTATTCAGTAGCGAAGATGGAATTGAAGTGGCTGGTGTGGTCATTGTCGCATTGTTGCGCCTTTTCAAGTTATTTTTATTATTCGACGAGAAAGGAGCAGGCAATTTGACCCATGACAAGGTGTTTGACGAATAGAGCAGCTTCTTGAACGACTGGGCGACATAGTTGCGTGTCAGATGGCAAAACGGTACTCGGTAGACCCTTCGGTTCTTGGAAGAAGCGGTACTCCAAATGGAAAATGTGTGTGAATTTTAAAGAATGACGCTGACGGAAAGCCGATGCGGTCATTTAACACCATAACTTAACTAGATCGCGGTTTGTTCGTCTTTGAAATTGCATCGAGGCGTTCGCCACCCGATAAGCGTTCACTTTAATGGACGCGGATGATCCGGGCTGCAAAATACTTCTATTTTGAATTTTGTGTGTATTCAAAAATTACATAATTTTGTCCATGTTATATAGATTTTAGTGGAGAATTGTAATATCAATTTGTTAGGGAACATGGGTGTAGAATCTCGGGGTTTATTGCGAAGGCGTATCAAGAATACCACAGCGCAGGAATCCTGGCGCTGTACCACTTAAATGCAAAATCTCGAATAGCCTTTTCATTTCATCAAAAAGTAATGGGCAATTAGGTCGGACAGCAAATACTACGCATTGTTCGCGCACTCGGACAAAGTCATGGGAAGTCAAGAAGATTCACTGCTTAGAGGACATAGGCTGGCTCCGATCACAAAATAGGTCATGAAGCCTGCACAGTCCTAAGTGTTTATTCTGTATCAACTGATCCAGGCTACATTAGACATGCCTTCTGAGATGTCGCCCGAACGGCCGCCCGCCCGATCAACAAGGCTGGTCGACAGGTTAAATGTATGTTTAAACGATCGCACAAAAGTGAATCAGGTACGTTTCCAATCCTACCAGGGGTTTCTCCTTTGTTTTTCAATGCCTTTTACTAAGTGAGCTTTTTTCCCTTCCACGTCCTAATCCTTTGCTAGGTAAGTAATTCGTTGACTAGATTATGACTAAGCAACGTATTCTTAGCGCCGCAGATACAAGTGGCAAAGTTATAAGCACAATCTAGGAACATAAGCGTACTTGAACACCATTGCTGTGATAATAGTGATATTCAAGGGAATAGGGTAGCCAACCAAATGACAACTGGAAAGGCCCTTGGGCCTTTGCACAATTCACTTAGGCTACAGCCAGTCGGTCCTCATTGACGTCCGTGACTAAATGAGAGACTGCCAAATAGCTTTTGTGCTTCGTCGCAATGCACATAATGACATTACCTAAACGAGCGTACGAGCTTATATCAATCATTCGTTTTGTTATAGATGCAAGCAATAGCAAGTGATTTATATATAAAAAAACGACATCGTTTCACCATCCGTAGAGTGAGGCAAATTTTACAACCCGTATACCGCACAAAGCATAAGCTCGCATTTACACTGTATTGTAGCTGATTCTCATATTCGGTAATAAAAGTGGGTATAATCTGAAAATTCGTGCTAGCTCTATTTTCCTCCCTTCTCATTTGTCATTAGCTCCTTTTAACAAACTAGTTTCTCTTTATAAGCGATCCAGTTATTATGCGTATATATTTATTTAATAATTCCTCGAAATTTACTACGTAACACATCCGTTATTTATTCAGCCGCAATTGTTATTATGGAACCATATAACTTGCAGTGCTTATTAGACACTGCATAGGCGTTTGAAACACATCCATATTAATTCTAATTATCTATACGAGGCCCTGATTTCAAACTAGAGTCCATATGGATCGTTCATACAACGTTTTCAATGAACGGATTAGAGGCCAAATAGCCCGAGCTTTTCTGCAGCAAGGCAAACAATTCGTTTAAGACTTGTTTTCCTTAAGGTTACTTTCACAGTTGGCGTTCTTCCTGAAACAGCCTTCTGGGCATCATGACTGAAATAATGGAAAAAAATGGTAAGCACTTAGTTAAAATTTCCGAAAGAGTGTATTTAAAAGCATTTTTTTTTTCATATTCACCGCAGGTATCGGCAGGCGTCATAAACAAATAATGGTGTATCGTGGCCTTTCTTGTTAATTTACGGCCTACATAGTTTTTATCCTGATTCGGTAATACATCCATATGTAAATCTATTAAGTCAAAACGTAATCGAGTTCAGTTTATGTTAGTACTTTCAAAGATCACTTCAATATTAAGCTGAATGGAATGAAAATATATTACGGATAGCGAAGTTACGTTAGATTTCTCTATCTGCGCCCAACGATTTAGATTTAGATTTAGTTAAGTAAATTGTTTTTTTTTTTCTTTTTGATAAGTTCACGGCGTACTGTAAGCTGACCTCATTTTAATATGTAGTACTTTTGTTTTTTCTTGTTTGACATCGTCAAGCTCGAACCAGCGATTATTACCTCACATCTAATGACTAGATTTCGACTTCACCAATCCTGTTCATTAGTCGTCCTTCGTTCGCATACTCACTATTGCTTCAGCGTGCCTGGCTGCTAAATGATGCTGTACTCGATTACTCTTTGACCAAAACTTCGCTTTATTTCGCGGTAAGCTCTCGTCCTTATTAAATATTTCAAATTTGCCCTTCGTCAAAATTCCCTCTGGAAACTACAGAATATCCTAATCTTATTTTTCCTTGTTAGTATTCCACATATCCGCGCATAACTCGGCCAAGTTCTAGTGCTTGAAGCCAAACGCTGATTTTCCCAAGTTTCTCTCTTATTCCGGGCGTATCATACTAACGGTGATTCCCCGCTTCCTCTACGTACTCCGCTTAGACTCTTGCTCCGGCCCTTCCCTCGGCCTATATTCGAGGTCAGAGTGGTGGCGGCTGTGATCGTGGTAGCTATATCAAAATCAAATTTTTTTCCAAGCGATTGTCTGCGTCCACTATCCTAACTGGCCTCATTGTCAGCAGAAGTCCTTGTGGCGACGCGAAGTTAGTCTGCGAAAGATTTGCGATCAAATATTAGATTTCCAGCTAAAAGCACACCCTGATCAACAACTTGTGGCCTTTAGCGCTTTGAACAGCGGGATAATGAACGCAAGCCGCCGTCTGCATAGAAAGCTTAGTATAGCAGTCCTGTCTTACGCTAACCCACTCCAAACACAGTGAGGACCCCATACGTCAACTCCGCTGAGTCCAAGATGCGAAGGCCTGTGAGTTCCATCTTTCTGCTCGATCGACCGCACATAACCTCCATGAAATAGCAATAGTGCGTGGGTGTACAAAGGTAGCTGGGTACAGGATGTCACCCCCAGAGGCTGAAAAGCGTGCTTCGCCTCTGAGCGTGTACAACTGTTCCCACGTCCGTTACCTTTTACTTTCTCTATCACTTTTTCCTCACGTTGTCTTTTGTTCTCTCCACGACATCCCCGACACGGGGGTTCGCGATTGTCTTCGCGAGCCTTGACCGGCGGTGATGGCGGCTCTCTGGCAGTTACGGGAGCCACCCTCCTCATCGGTCTCCCTACGAGAAAGACACGAGAACACGAGCTGATCGGTGACGCGTGCAACCGATGTCGTTATATGTGCGTTAGATCGGAGGAAATGCGACTCCAGCACAACCTCTCCGTGTTTAGTGAAGGGTCATCGACGGTAGCGAGCAACTGAGCGTGGATTTCGGAGGTGCTAACCGGACCCTAGAGTTAGAAGGTCGACGACAGCTTGGAAGCTAGAACAGTGATCCTCTAATCGAAAACAGTGCACTCTATATTATATA